GAAGGAAGGAAGGAAGGAAGGAAGGAGAGCAATGACAACAGAAGTCAGTGAAGAAGATAAGTGATGAGAAGAAGTCATGACAACAATGATGAGGATAATGATAATGCAAATTTACTCTCACAATAAATTTGTATGAATATGTGCGAAAATATATTCCACTCTTATCTTCACCAACAAATCACTTCTTTACTGCACATTTTACTAGATAGTCCTTAAGATTATAAGAGAGCAACATTTTGAGAACAGTATTATACAACAGTGAGTGTTGGAAAATGACAGCAGGGATTATACATAAGCTAGAGACTTTTTTTAAAAATAAAAATCTTAAGAAGAATCCTGTTAATATTTTGGGCAAAAAAGACCACACATGAAGAACTAAGAAACATTTGTTTTATCACCTGCAAATATTTAAAAGAAAGATGACAGAAATGACTTGGACATTGCTGCAGAATGCCAAGGACAGCTTTCTGATGGATGGCTAAAGAAAAAAGGAGATGTAGAACACCTAATAAAACCTGAAGAAGGACAGAAAAAAGGAGATATAGACCAACTAATGAAACCTGAAGAAGGACAGAAAAAAGGAGATATAGACCAACTAATGAAACCTGAAGAAGGACAGAAAAAAGGAGATGTAGAACACCTAATAAAACCTGAAGAAGGACAGAAAAAAGGAGATATAGACCAACTAATGAAACCTGAAGAAGGACAGAAAAAAGGAGATGTAGAACACCTAATAAAACCTGAAGAAGGACAGAAAAAAGGAGATATAGACCAACTAATGAAACCTGAAGAAGGACAGAAAAAAGGAGATGTAAAACACCTAATGAAACCTGAAGAAGGACAGAAAAAAGGAGATGTAGACCAACTAATGAAACCTGAAGAAGGACAGAAAAAAGGAGATGTAGAACACCTAATGAAACCTGAAGGACAGAAAAAAGGAGATGTAGATCACCTAATGAAACCTGAAGAAGGTCAGAAAAAAGGGAGGATTTTCAAATGATTTGGGATACCAGAGGCAGAAAAGCAGTCTACTAGCAGTAACAGAGATCACCTGTGTGTGTTTTATGTGCGAAATGAAGAGGATATCGATAGATTTTTTTATTGCCCAATCTTTTCTAAAGCACAACTCGTGTACCAGCATCAGACAGCCATGAGAACAGTATTTTTCTAAACTGCCGATTGCAAAAAATTAAACGCTGGTATGGCAGGTAGGTAGATATTCTGTCTCCTTCAGTCAACAGGACTGACACCTTAAGGATGAGAATTAAACTCGTTCAAATCCCTGTTCAACCGCATAGCAGTTATATGGATGGGGCTTGCAACACTTATATAGTAACCCGAAGCCCAAACTGAACAGGGATGACTCTTTGTAAATGTACTTTAGTACATCAATTATGGAACTTTAAAGCAGTTTTTCCCCATTGTGAATTTGAACAAAGAAAACACAAATAGATTGCACAATTTGTTGCCTGATGCAGATTAATCAAGAAAGATGTGTCTTCAAGTCCATTGGAACTGAGCTATCCCTTGGGACTGTATTCACAACAGTCTGCTATATTTGTCTCCCTTTGAAGTACTGAGAATAAATCTTTGCCTGCCTGCCAACAAGAGTCGTATAAATGACAGCTTCATACTGCTGGCACTATGTTCACAACACCCCTCCTCCAAGCAACTCAACTTCTCTTGTTGTTTTTATGGATCTCTTCAAGCATCTTGATGGAAAGTAGAATTTAATGGAGCCCAGCAAAATAGCTTGATGATCAGACGCAAGGTAAATGAAAGACTAGTAGTGATAGAACAAGCATGTCTAAACTTCTCACAGAGGAAAGACAAAGATAATGGGAATAAACAAGGGCAAACAATAAATAGCTCAATCTCACTTGGTGTAATAGTATTTCAAGATACATAATTATATACATATTTAGGCCGGAATGTTGATAAAGATGAGGATACAGACTGAACTCCAAAACTATGAATTAAAAAAAAACAGCCTTTAGAAATCATGTGGAAGTCAAAAGAAAATGTAACCTAGTATTAAATAAAGAACACTTAGGGATCCCTTCTGCTATCTCTATAGACCAACTGACTCCTCATCAAGCATTTGATAAAATTATTGATGTTTCCTCCAAAATCGGAATGCATCTGCCTGAGCAGGAGGAACCAACAGTCTGCACATAAGTAAACCAAACCTGTAAAACAGATGTGTGTGCAAAGATAAAGTTCTGGAACAAGGCTAAAATCCAGTAGTGGATAAAGAGCCAGAACTTTGTCCCTAAGTTTACAGCCAGTGAACACTAAAAAGAAATAAATAATGTAGTCTGGAGTAGAAGCAGAAACACAGCTGATGTACAGAAGTAAATCAGTCAGTCAGTCAGTCAGCTGTTTCATGAAACATTGTGTAAAAGCTGCAGAGACACAGCTGATGTACAGAAGTAAATCACAGTCAGTCAGTCAGCTGTTTCATGAAACATTGTGTAAAAGCTGCAGAGACACAGCTGATGTACAGAAGTAAATCACAGTCAGTCAGTCAGCTGTTTCATGAAACATTGTGTAAAAGCTGCAGAGACACAGCTGATGTACAGAAGTAAATCACGGTCAGTCAGTCAGCTGTTTCATGAAACATTGTGTAAAAGCTGCAGAGACACAGCTGATGTACAGAAGTAAATAGCGGTCAGTCAGTCAGCTGTTTCATGAAACATTGTGTAAAAGCTGCAGAGACACAGCTGATGTACAGAAGTAAATCACAGTCAGTCAGCTGTTTCATGAAACATTGTGTAAAAGCTGCAGAGACACAGCTGATGTACAGAAGTAAATCACAGTCAGTCAGCTGTTTCATGAAACATTGTGTAAAAGCTGCAGAGACACAGCTGATGTACAGAAGTAAATCAGTCAGTCAGCTGTTTCATGAAACATTGTGTAAAAGCTGCAGAGACACAGCTGATGTACAGAAGTAAATCAGTCAGTCAGCTGTTTCATGAAACATTGTGTAAAAGCTGCAGAGACACAGCTAATGTACAGAAGTAAATCACAGTCAGTCAGCTGTTTCATGAAACATTGTGTAAAAGCTGCAGAGACACAGCTGATGTACAGAAGTAAATCACAGTCAGTCAGCTGTTTCATGAAACATTGTGTAAAAGCTGCAGAGACAGCTGATGTACAGAAGTAAATCAGTCAGTCAGCTGTTTCATGAAACATTGTGTAAAAGCTGCAGAGACACAGCTGATGTACAGAAGTAAATCAGTCAGTCAGCTGTTTCATGAAACATTGTGTAAAAGCTGCAGAGACACAGCTAATGTACAGAAGTAAATCAGTCAGTCAGCTGTTTCATGAAACATTGTGTAAAAGCTGCAGAGACACAGCTGATGTACAGAAGTAAATCACAGTCAGTCAGCTGTTTCATGAAACATTGTGTAAAAGCTGCAGAGACACAGCTGATGTACAGAAGTAAATCAGTCAGTCAGTCAGCTGTTTCATGTACATTGTGTAAAAGCTGCAGAGACACAGCTGATGTACAGAAGTAAATCAGTCAGTCAGTCAGCTGTTTCATGAAACATTGTGTAAAAGCTGCAAAGACACAGCTGATGTACAGAAGTAAATCAGTCAGTCAGTCAGTTGTTTCATGAAACATTGTGTAAAAGCTGCAGAGATGTGGTTTTATAGGTGGATGAGAAGAACACCATGGACAGAAAAGCAGAGCAATGAAGATGCCTTGATAGAAATCAACTCATGAAGAGAACTGATTACCTGAAAAAGGAGGCAATCAAAATTCTTTGGTCATACCATGAGAAGGGAAAAAGTAGAGTAAAAGTTGGGGTATGGGGGGGGGGAAGGGGGAGAGGCCACATGAAATCAAGAGAGGAGATGCTGGATAGTGAAGGACATGACAGGGAGGATAATCTGTGCTAGAAATTATTGAACGTACACAAGACAAAAGGTTGTGCACAGATGTGACTACCAATAATATACAGCATGAGAGCTATAGTGGAGCAGAAACATGGAGAACAACTAAAACTACTACTAATACACTACACTGTTCTGTAAAACCACATTTCTGAGGCCTCATGAAACTGGCTTGTTTTAATAACAGTTCAGGATTCACAACCATATCTTAAACTGGCACTATATAGCATGCAAAAATTATGTTTCTAATCCCCCCTACCCCCCTTTCCCCACAAAAGAGATTTACTGCACTAAGATGTTCTTCATTTTATAAAATAGAGTTTTCGCCTGTCCTATTCTGTTCTTTATCTGTGTGATACATCTTTCATCTGACATTATACATGTGCCTAGACACATGATCATAAGGACAAATTTTGGTGCTTACCCCAGATGACGTCACAGGGCAGTCCAACATTTTACAGCATGGTAAGACTGGGTTTGCCGGCTTTCTGATGCTTTTAACGACCCCAAAACATCTAGGACTGGCCCTAACCCTAACCAACCTATGTCCCACGAGAGAGTGCAGCCTAGAAATATTAGACTGTCCTGTGACCTGTGGATTTACCCTGTTTGGGGTAGGATAATAATAAAGCACCCAAATTTGTCTGCGTCTTGGTCACAAAATTCATTCACTCAATACCCCACAGTGCCATTAAATGTTACACTACTTACACATGGTTCGTTAATCTATTCTTCTATTCCATTCAAGCCTGTGCAATCACTCCGATATCATAAATAGGATCTAGTCCCAAAGCATCTTTGGCTTTCTGCAAATCAACATTCACTTTAGAGTTTCTCGTGGATGTCCAAACTTCCTTAATCCCTTTACATTTTACATTTTCAAGTGTTTGGTTATTTATGGTCACTGCTTGTTGGTTTGTTTGTTTATGAGCCGATGCACTTTTCACAGGTTGAGTTAAATTTATTTTGAAATTGCTTTAGTGGGCCAATTTCTTTATGAATAGAGGCATTTTGACTCTGCTTGGTGATTCTCTGTTCATTTCTTGGTCAATAAACACATTTAAAAAAACCAGATTTACCAGAAAAATGATGTTACTCACCAGACAATCCCCTGTGCTCCAGAGCCAATAGGTCTCAAGTGCTGGTAGCGTTTCAGTATTGTGAATGTGGAATCTCCGACCTCCACAGAATAAAACTGGTTTGGAGGTTTACTCATGATGCTGAGTGGGAATGATGCCCCAGCAAAAACAGGATGTGTGTGAAGAATTAGGCTACACAGGTCATCTAGTCCTCAAACGACAATTTCAGATTCTCTGTAAGTAGGTCAAAAGACAACAGATTGGTAATTCTGCTTGTTGACAGATCTTTAAAAAAACAAATTAACATAAATGTTCCAGGCAGCAAATATCACAGCCATGCAGTAAAAGGCACAATGTAGATGAACACAGAAGATTTAAAAATATACTGTAAAATAGTTTTTAGAGTGCCATAAACTGTACACTAAATGAATCATCACCTTGCAAATTTACTGTCAAAATTGAGGGCAGGAACAGATAGTGCCAGTACTTGATGGGTGGTCTAGGCTGTTGCCATCACTGTTATTCCACGCCAGTTTTATCATTTTCCTGTGCTATGCCAATAAGCGCAGGGTGATGTTTCATAATTTCATATGATCACCAAAATCGTGGATCAGGCCAGTGTTCTTGTCTCACCCCCATCTAAATGGCTAAGACATCCAGGTATTTATTTCTTTGCCTTCCTCTTTTTCTCTTTCCCTCAATTTTGCCAGCTGTTAGAAAGTTCTCAAATACATTCCTTCTCATAACATGTACAAAAACCACCAACTGCTGTGTTGGAATCTTTTGAATCAGTTTACACTTGCATCTGTCTCAGCCGGACTGCTTCATTTGTTCTATTATTCTAAGATATTCTTTGATATATTTCTTAAACAACCCTCTCCCGTCTGAGTAAATGTCAATGTAAGTTATGTATCCTTTACAGGCAGTTTCAGAACCAACCCCATTTGTTTGCTGTTTTGTGGTTTTTCTAGGCAAATTTTACGTTCAGTAGTTTGCTTTTGCTTTCTGAATGGTCAGCTCTCCGTTGTTGTTGTTGCGTATCCTTTACAGGACGTTGCAGAACCAACCCTAACAGCCCCTGGCTGTTGTGTGGTTTCTCTAGGCAAATTACGTCCAGTAGTTTGCCATTGCTTTCTGGACGGTCGGCTTTCTTGATACCACTGTCAAAACCAACGCAAGGCGCATTGCCCGCAGCTGGGATCGAACCCGGCATCCCGGCATTACGAAGCCAAGCAGCTCTCGGTACCACTGTCAAAACCAACACAAGACATTCTGCTGCCAAATCGCCCACAGCTGGGATCGAAGCTGGCACCCAGGAATTATGAATCGCGATCGCAACGGCTCAGCCACAGTCAAATGTCAATGTACAATGTCTTTACTGTTGTGTCATAAATCCTTCTTCTTGAGGGCCCCTCTTGCTCTTCGTAGATGTAGCTTCTGTATTAGTAACTGGTGATGCAATATTCTAAAATGCAAATGATTGAATGAACAAATTGCCAATCTTTATGGAGATGTCTTGTTGCTGCCGCCTTTCTGTTTTTCCAGATAGTAGTATTTTCTATCTTGGTCCTCTTCAAACTGCTGCTGACACATAAGGTGTTCATAAGTGATCTTCACTATTCGCTCAGCGGATGCGATTATTTATACAGACAGTTCAGTGTCAAGAGGCAAAAGAGGTGCCTGTGGTTCTTAGCAAAATCTAATGGTCGATGTTTGGTGCAGGACAGTTTAGCTTATGATAACCCAACATACAGCTTTAGAATGGAGGTGGAGGCGGTCACTACGGCTTTCCCCTGGCTAGAGAACACGATACATACATCATGATTGAAAGCATCATGACCCAGAAAGCATGCTAAGGAAGCTGAGGACAGGCATGCTTTGTGATGAGTGGCATGCTTCACTTCGGAGGTCATGGGTGAAGAGCATAATCTGGATCTTTTTTCCAGGTATGCTGGTGTGCTGGGAAATAAACAAGCAGTGAGACTGGCAGACTCTGCACATTGAATACTGATGCATGATATGGCAGACATGGGAGGACTTGTACAATTCAGAGGAGCAAATGGATCATCACATTCTGGGGAGAGTGATGCAGCGAGCAGGGATGAGGGAAGGTAGCCAATACTAGACGCTCAGAGGAAAGGCAAGATGGACATTTAGTCAGACTGCATTGGTACTGAAACTCTGCGCTGGCTGCTGAGGATAGGGACAGAGCACTTATGGGAATGCCCCAAGGGCTGTGATGTCAGTTACTGAATCAACTCAACTCAAGTGATTTCCATTTCTACTGGTATCTGCTTTTTTTTTTAACTATGGTATCCTATGTCATTTTGCAAATTCTTCATTTCCCTTTCTATTGTCCTCCTGTCTTTAGGTAGCCCACATCTCCTTTTTCCATATGCCACCGTACAATTCAGAGGAGCAAACGGATAATCACATTCTGGGGAGAGTGATGCAGCGAGCAGGGATGAGGGAATGTAGCCAATACTAGACGCTCAAAGGAAAGGCAAGATGGACATTTAGTCAGACTGCATTGGTTCTGAAACTCTGGGCTGGCTACTGAGGATAGGGACAGAGCACTTATGGGAATGCCCCAAGGGCTGTGATGTCAGTTACTGAATCAACTCAAGTTATTTCCATTTCTACTGGTATCTGCTTTTTTAAATATTTTTTTTAACTATGGTATCCAATGTCATTTTGCAATTCTTCATTTCCCTTTCTATTGTGCTCCTGTCTTTAGGTAGCCCACATCTCCTTTTTCCACATGCCATCCACCAGAGAGCTGAGCTTGCCAAAAGTGTCAGGAGGCATTTGGCAAACATATCCACACTATCTCATTCTTTCTTTGATAACCATTTGCCAGTGATAAAGATTGTATTTTCCTCCCCAGTTCTTCACAGGTGATCTTGTTTGGCCAAAAGGTTGGCAGGATTTCCTTAGGCAGTTTATTTTGAAAAAGTCTCAAGGTTATGTGTTATTTCTACCGTCATTTACCAACAATCATTTACCAACAATCGCCGATGTACAATAGTATTCCTAAAACGTTGCTCTTGTATAAGTTTTGTTCACAAAGTCCTTTTGATTTTCATATAGGGTTTAGCGTGGCAAATGTTTGGTTTGCTTTGTTTATTCTTGATGTTACTACATTTTTAGAATCTCCATCCGGAACAACTTTACTTCTGAGGCATATAAATTCTTCAAATTCGATTTCTTCATTATTTTAGGTAACTAGATTTTCTGTTTTCTGATTATTTCTCATTACTTTAGTTTTACTTTTATTTATCTGGAGTCAAATTTTAAGAGCTACTCAAGAAAGTCTTTTAATCAATCCTGAGCATTCACATAAAGGCAGTGTTATAATGTCCTTTAGAGAGGCACTGAAATGATAGCCCATGTCGATGGGGTGTGTGACTAACAAGACCAACTGTTAGGTCATTCTCCCACAACTAGAGCATACAGAGATGTCAACCAGCTCAAAATGAATGCTGCTTTCACTCATTCAGACCCAGGGGGTTTAGCATCAGAGGCCCAGTCTGTAGTAAAAAGAAATGTAAAATCTTGTGTTCACTGGGCTTCTATGAATGTATGATGTGTTGCTTGGGAGAAAAGAAAAAGAAGAATGACAGAACCAGGAATAGGTACCACTTGCACACAGGACACTCCTAAAAGAGCAAGTGCTCTTCAACTTTTTCAATAGCCAACAAAGAGTTTCTGTGCTCACAGTGCTAATGGCAATCTGACTGCAAGTTTGCCAGTCTTTTCCCCTACAGATTGGGTATGCTCCAGTAAATTTAGTCAGCATCCACACTCACACACAAATCTAACATATATTACTACACCTCAAATAACTAGCATAACATGTAACAAATTAAAACAATTTTATTCCAAGCCTTTACTCTAAGCCCATAGGTAACTGCTGGTATATTTTTCGATGGTTTGATCAGTGCTGTAGGGGGGATGGGGGGATAGGGTGGGGCCTCTTATCCTTACATTCACCAAGAAGTGTTCAGTGATGACAGTGGCATTTTCAAAGGGATCTGCTTGCTACTTTATGATGATGATGGTCAGGTTTTGATGCACAGAAAAACCAGTGTGAGGCTGGGGTCAGCACTATATGGGTGATGCTAAAATAATGCCGGTCACCTTTACGGTTCTTAATTTATAACGTACCCCAAACAGGACATCCCCGTGGGAAATCCACAGCTGACCTGACAGTCCATTATTTCAAGGGGTGCAAGTGTACTGTTGTGTGGTGCTTTTTTTAGTGTTCATCTAGTGTCTTCTAATCCTAACCCTAACCCTAAACTCTACTGTAGAGAAATCGCGAGAAACTACAACCTGATCACCCTAGAATTTATTGGGAATGTCTCCCGTGACATTGTCGTGACGTCAGGGGTAAGTCAGCCCCTTGAGACCCCCCCCCCCCCCCCCCGCCACCCACACACCCCATAAAATGATAAAAGGGTTGAAATGCATTCTCCTCCTCTCCACCCCTAATGTTTTCTTAATGGCCACATCACCTTTTGAGGGGTAATGAGTATATCATGACAGCCCCCATGTGTCAGATCACTCAATAGGTGAAATGGTCAGTATCAGCTGATTTTACTTCCCAGAAAATGTCCAGTACCCATTGTAGACTGTGTTATCAATTACACCAGTGTTCCCTAAACTTGTCCTGGTCGCGGCACCTTTTTTCAATAAAAAATTGTTCAAGGCACTCTAACCTCAGTAAAAGTATGACTATTCGTATGAAAGAGATTTTTAAAAAAACTCGTGTATCTTCTAATATTTCGCAGTGTCTCTGTAAAGAGGTCATGGCTCCCCGGGGTGCCGCGGCGCAGTTTAGGAATCACTGGGTTACCCTCTAGTTGCTCCGCTCCTGTGCCAGCAAAACCCACACAGAATGCCCACCACTGTCCCTTGTCAACAATTCCTTTTTTTTTTACTGCAGTCTCAGCAAAGTCAATATACTACACACGCTGTAAATGCCAACACAAACAGTCCGCAACTAGAAATGCAGTTCACTGTCGATGGAAGCAGCAGTTACAACAAATCAGCAGTTGCACACACAACTGTGTATACCAGGTCAATGAAATGCAGTCCATCTTCTGAGATGGTTAGTATACATGACCACTGGGTC